GACAATACTCAAATATGCCAAAACCCCCGGCAACCAAATTCTGAGGAGAGAGATACTGTGATAAACGAGTTACCCCCTTGAACTGTTAAAGATACCTCCCAGATCACTTCCGTCCCCTTATCTATTTTTGTTACCAAATACCCGCGTTAGAGGTCTCCGGAAGAGGCATTAGACCTGGAGTTAACAGAGGTACTCCATGGGTGTCCAGCAGTCGAGAATAAATGATTTTAAATAAAAACCGATCTTGGTCGTCATTATTTACTTTGACCATTCTTCAAATGTTGTTTATGCCTGTCACCGGCAACATCGACATAACAAACATGTCACCCCACACATTGGATATATATGCTAATAAATAAACAAAAATTCTCAAGCAGTTCGGTTCAAGGAATGAACCCATTTTCATTTACAACACACTTTTTTTTTCTTTTATGTGTCGTGTCCTTTAATAAAAATGTTATTTTAGTTCCCATTTTCTTTAAAACATTGTTTAGTTCATGGTATTCTCATCATCCGTCTGTAGAGCTACATCTCTGACACTTCGAGATTCTTCTTCATCTGCCAACATTCATTTCTGTAGTGGAGGATAGGTATGACATAAAAGTTCACCACTCTTCGATTTTAACGAAATTTTCCTATGATAATATTTTGTTTATTTTCTGGAAGGCAATTTTTCGCTCTTCTGATGCTCCTTCTGATTTCTGTGTCACATTTGCTGTCGTCACACTACCCTGATAATTTATATACTTGCTTGTTTTTTTATGTTTCTAGTTCAAAGCGCACACCTTTGGTTATCTCCTTTGTTGATTGCCATATATTCTGTTTTCTTAGTTAATTGTCCTTTCTTCTAGCTTACATTTTTTACCTTGTTCTTGTAATTTTCCTTTTGAGTTTCATCAGCGTATCTTATATTCTTAAATTTATAGCAGCGGATAGTAAATTCTAGTAGGTTATCTAGTTCTCTATTCGTCTCGATGTATAGATTAAATAAATCCGATGAGAAAACGCAACCTTGTCTTAATCCTTTTTCTGTTTTTATGCACTTGCTTAACTCAATTCTTATCCGAAAGTAGGGGGTTTATTTCAAGTAAATATTGCAAATTATTCTATCTTTCCAATATAGACAGAGCATTTTTAGCAGTTCAAATGACTTTTTGTGTCGTATTTTAAAAGCATTTGCGTATAATATGAAATATAGGTATGTCTTTTTGCATTTGCATTGTTCGCTTTGATCATTAATATAGAATTTCATTGTCTTGAACAAAGCCGCATTGTTCTTGCCCTATTATTCATTAGAATTCTAAATATTAGCTTAGTTATGTGGCTCATTAAGCTACTTGTCCTATTAATTTGCATCTTCATTTTTTTAGCATCACTTTGAAGACAGTTACTGATGGGACATCCATGGTCTCTCCCAAAACAGTATCATCAAAACTGAGATGAACCAAGGATCACTGTCTTCAACCTAATTCGACAATGTTAGGCTCAGAGAACCTTAGTTCGACTGACGATGGCACTTTGGTTGGAAAATCTGAATGTCGAGGAGATATTTTTCTCTTCTCATCTGATATTGTTAGCCGTTCAAGAGGTGTTTCTTGGCTGGAAAGCCGTCCTTTGAGGCTAACGTTTTCTCTTTTATACCCAGATTCTGCGGCCATATTGTGTTATTACCATAAAGGGTAAGGCGTTTCGCTTCATTGAGGTTTATGTGCCCAAAGATAGTGAATCGACCCGTTCGTAACAACATCTCGGCGAGTAGTTTTAGCAGATTGAATGCTATCCTTGAGAATGCTATATAGACCACAGAAGTGATAGATTGCGTAATGTTTTAAAATGAGCTCCCCGGCAGTTTGGGACAAATAAGGATATCTCGGTTTCGGTACAGCGTTCCAGCTACATCGACTGCGTTCTTCTTCGACGTTGGGCTCTTATGATGTTCAAGTCTTCATAGCATTTAGCTAATGTGGAAGTAGTCAGAGCTAAAGCGGAACTATCATCCTTGTTAATAAGGACCAAGCTCTTATAGTTGGGGTTTGATGAAAAAGAATGTTTCCACTGGCAACAAAAAGCTGCTGAATTGCGAGCAGAGGAACATCGCAGTGCGGCTGATAGACATATTGACAGCGCCACATTGCTGGGTGGGCTCAAGGCCTTTTTGAAGATGCTTTCAGTAGCCTTTTCCTGGTGTGAGCGCTCTTCAATTCAACTCCTTTTTCATTGATTTTCGGAGTTTTTAATTCACTGAAGTCGCTGGTTGCGAGTAACCCAAAACAGAGGATGGCATTTTGGAAAGGCGGGAACTTGTTGGCAAGGATAAAACTCATGGTATACATAGTCTTTCATACAAAGTGGACCTGAGGCAGTCGCATGTTTTTGTCCCTTTCTTGGCATTGATCTACAACACGTGGTTGAAGAGTAGGATTAGAATGTAGGGCTTCAACAGAGTTGTGATTAAATTGCTGCGCAAAGATAATCAGAGAGGGGATGGGATTAGTAATTTACAGCCTTTAACGTTTTTAAATACAGGTTTAGAGATTTTAGTAAAGGTTTTCGCTGCAGATTGTTTTTGTTGATCTGATTGGTCAATGCTCGACAACAGCCGCGATAGAAGGAACACTGACCCTTGTGTAATCGATAAACCCCCTTATACAAGTGCACACTTCTCAAAGCAGGAAAGGCTTTCTTAGCGTCTTCTTTTCACAATTCGCCATTTCCATTTTTCTGCGTACATATTCATCTAGGAAATGAAAGTGGAGCGTATGTTGACGAATCTCAACGTTCTGTATACGTCGACTGCCTTCAGTGGAAATAGAAGGTTTCCAACTTACCGGAGGAGCCTAATATCCCCAAAAGTGGTCAAACAAAACCCTCATGAGATAAATTAGGTCAGTGTATGGGAGTAGAGGAACAGCTTTAAATGAGAAGCACATACTTCCACCCTCTCCTCGTTAAATGATTCCTTAGATACTGCAGACGAATTGCGGCCTTGATATTCTGCAAAACCACCGACCAATTTCTCTCCAAAGCAGACGCCACGTATTTTGAATGGCATATCTGTCCAACTGAAAGGTCCGAGAAGGGACACAATTTGTCATGGACCTAACTGCATGTCAACAGATATTTCAGTTGATTTTTGCTTCTGTTATCATGCCTTTTGATTTCTGTGCCAGTCTTAGCATATAAAACTTTACCCACAACAATAAAAATGTTTACATTTATATGTATTTGTACACTTACCATTTTATATACACAAATGTACACATTTGTTTAATATATGTACATACACATGTATTTAGAGTTACGCGGGGTTTAGGGACTAAAATGAACAGTTGATCTATCTATGCCAAGAAGACCAATGAAGGATGATAATGATGAGGAAATACGGGTAATTTTAACAAAATAAGATGAATTAATTCACGAATTTGCACACTTGAAGTAGTGTCATTAGCTCGTTTCAGGATAATTAATCTGAATTCTTAAAGTTCGTAGTTTTAATGTGTTTGTCATGAAAAGGAAATGTTCGTACAACAGATTAAATGATCTGACACAAAATAATATTAAAAAATGTAGTTACCTCCACTGAATTTTCGATGCCTAAAGTTTAAAATGAAGTTTTAAAAAAGAAAAAAAAAATTCTTGAAGATTTCATTGGAAGCTAAGTGATTAAATTTACTATTTCCATTAAGTATTCTCGTGTATTTCAAATAGAAATTATATAGATTGGAATGTCAAATATTTACTCGATTTCAGAAAATCTTACAAGCGACCATTTTCTCAAACAAAACAAAATTATCAGTTTTAAAATCTCCCAAAAATAAAATAGATATTTCTGACATTTTATTTGAGTAAAATTAGCTAATTTAAATTAATCTGATTTGAAACAAACATTACTTACTTATCGCATAAAAAAGTAATATACAAGCATTTCTTAACGGCGGGTCCTATTTTCTTTTGACGTATCGATAAGTTCCAAGGTGTTGACAGCTAGTATGGATGACCAGAATTGACATAAAATTACGAAATCTAAATGAACGTATTTTTCGGTTTTTAACTACATTTTAACAAATTTTCTATATTTTAAATTTTAAAAAAATATTAAGTACAAACGACTGTTATGAGCTTTCAATTTTTGATTTGTAAAAGTAGTTTTCATTTAATGACAATATCACCGAACCTCCTTGAAGTAATTCAGAATTTTAAATGATTTTTTAATATTGTGAATTATGTAATTACAATTTTAAAAAAATGAAAACAATTCTCGCAAAAATGAATTATTCATCGAAAAATGTCTTCTTAAGACAATAGTATCCTTAATAAATCGTATCTATAAAATCAATTAAAAGCTTTTCTAATTACATAATGTCATAGTTTCATTGCATATTTTATTTTACTATTCAGAGCAGATTTTCGTTGAATGCGCTTTCAAAAAAACAAAAAACAATTATGATTTATGACGACTACCCCGGCCGCTCCAAGTTCGAACCCCTCGGTTGAACGTTTCGTTTTGTCTCGCTTCTGGTTGTGATGAATTGATCGCAAGACTGACTTGGTCCGAATGTCGACTGGAATGACTTGGTTTGGTTCTGTCAGAGTGAAGTCACACAAAAATAAATTGGATAGAAGAAAAATAATATTTATATACAGCTACTTCATACACATTTGATGGTACAGTTATTGATAGCTTAAGCAAGGCTATATTTTCCATGCAATAACTTTCGACCCTTTCCGATTGTCGTGAGACACTATTGTTAGAATTCTTTGGAACGAGACTTCTGGAACAAGACTTTAAGTCGGAGGCTTTTTCTTCAGGGCGGCAAATCATATGGGATCACGCAAAGCAGTGGTCTCTCTGCCGTAGTCTGTCTGTGGTGTCTTCGCTTTCTCTGTATCTCTCTGCCGTAGTGCTTTTTTATGAAGTCATGTGCAAGGGCTGAGTTGAGGCATGATGTTCTCTGGGTATGCCAGCGCTCCCCAACAACTAGTTAGGGCTCTCCCTGCAAATGTCCAAATATGGGGGAGTTCCTCTTCCTTCCTTGGAATTCTACCTGGGCCTTCTCCTGTCACCTGATCAAACCCGATTCCTTCCTGTTTTGTATGAGCGCTTCTCACCATCACTGCCCGAGGGGCGTGGAGGGTCCTCAGCCTTCCCTGCAATTCCACCTGGGCTCTCTCCTCCTTGGTCACTTGACCAAACTCGTCCCCTGAGGGCTAGGCGTGGTCTAGTCCAACGGCCAAATTTTAATTATCGTTCAAAATTCTTTCTTATCGTGCTTTTGGTGTGTGGTTGTTTTCGCATCTGGGTTCGGTCATTCTTATCCCATCGTCAACGCTTTGGTCAACAAGTGGCAAAAATGGTACAATCCCTTGATTTTAGGAAGCTTTATGGCGTGTCGGCCGACGAAAATTTTATCTATTTTCTGCTGGAAACTTGTCTGCTTCTAAAAGTCAATCCTCATCTATCAGCAGAATTCGCATCCTGGGGTCTGTCTTTTCTCCTTCGCTTACAATGGTCGTAAAAATATTATCGATTTCTTTCTGGGAGTTCGTTGGGTCTCCAAAATAGTACGTCACGTAGCCTCAGTTCTAATCGAAACAAGATGGTCTTTTTGTTTTACCTCTCCGGCGGACGAGGAATTTAATTACATTCTTCTAATTTTTTTCAGTAAAAAAAAAAAAAAAAAAATCCTTTTCTTTGATTTCCCCTCGCCTGGTCATCGGTATATCTTCACTCTATCGAAATTTAGTGTTTTTCGGTCTTCTATTTTTTTTCTCAGTTAAAAACAAATATATTTTTCTTTAATTTTCCTTCGTCTGCTCATCAGTATATCTTCAGTCTATTGGAATTTATTGTTTTTGGGTTTTCTATTTTTTTCTCAATTAAAAACTATCCTTTTCTTTCATTTTCCTTCGTCTGGTCATCAGTATATCATCAGTATATCTTCAGTCTATTGGAATTTAGTGTTTTTTCAATTTACTAGCACCTTTCTAATAGTGTCACAGATTTACATTCTCCAAGGAGTCCTGCTTTTAACTAATAAAAAAATTCTGCGATAAAAATTGAGTTTTTTGAAATTTTATGAAATTAAGTAAGTGGGTGCTAACATATGTAAAAAATTTTTTTACCAAGATTTTCTAAAAAAAATTCAAAAATAATTTAATTCATTCTTGAATATGTCCTGAAAGTGCAAAAAAAAAAAAAAAAAACTAATCGTAATTATTACTTCGGCCGCTAACTTAAAGAAAACAAGATTTTTAACCAAAAAACGTGCTAGAAAAGATTAAAAAATTTCAAAAAATGATAAAAAAATACTTTGGTCTTTCATCTTAATAACAACATAAATATTTTGACGATAAAACTTTGTTTTTATTGATTTTGGGGCCTTTTTATACTGTTTTTTTCGCGAAAAAGTGGAGGTACCTAAAAATGTTAAAACAAAGGTAAGAAAGTTCGTTGCTAAATGAAGGGATATATAGTTGCATAAGTTCAAAAGTTGACGAGGAGAGGTAGTTTAAAATAGCTCTCTTGGGATGAAAGAAAATTATTTGAAGTTCCACGTGCTGGTTAGAGGCCGATAATATAATTGGCAAGTAATTTTACACAGGTGAGTACTTCAACGCTGGTCACGAGGAACTGGAACGAAACCTTTCACGTGACTTTAGACACTCTTCGTAATTTTCTCCTCGTTTTATATCAAAAAGAAATTTCACGTAGGCTCGTTACTTTCTTTCCTTTTCTTTTTGGCTCATTGACTAATTTCTGTGAAGGCAACGTTTTAATTGGTCCACAAACAATTTCACATAGGCTCGTGAATTTCTTTCCTTTTTCTTCTTCAGCTCACTGGTTAATTTCTGTGAAAGGCAAAAATCTCACATAGACTTGCGAATTTCTTTCTTCTTCCTCAGTCCTCCGAATTTGAAGAGATGGGTGAAGGGAGTTATTATTATTTCACACTCACTGCATTGAAACAACAGAAAGCAACAGAGAAATATTTTAAATTTCTTTTATTTAACCATTACATTTTTTAAATATCAGTATTATGGCATTTGTGCATTATGACATCACGCACGGGACAAGTTAACATGGAAAATTAATTAAACATGTATTAGTGAATGAGTTTTACCTACGAACATATTATTTATATACACTTGTTGGGTTAACTTTTCTTCATCTTCTCCAATTAGCATGCACCGCGCTTGGCCGGTTATGTGATCCTTAACGTGAAACCCGCTCTGTACAGGTGACAGTTTGTGGATAGACGCCGAGAAAATTAGATGCTTTACTCACTTGTGGGGAAAAACATAACCTTTTGCAACATGACATGCTAGATTTTTAAATAAAGGCAGATTTTTTGTAAAATTCGCTAGCTTTCTTTTTAAGGGTCGGAGAGATGGTATTTCTCCACTCTGTTGGCATGTTCGCTTTCTAGGAAATGAAACTTTCATTTGTTTTTTTTTTCCGACTTCTCCCTGGCCGTCTTTACTTTTTATTTTTAATGTTTGTGTAAATATCTATACCTACGACAGGTACTATAATAAAACCGTGCACATATATTTGATAAATCTTACACCCTCATAAAGATACATCCTTCTTAGTCATAAAGTTTTACTTGTATATCTAGTTTGCTCAAATACTTTCAAATCGTATGATGGACGTATACGTATTTTCCAAAAATTGCTTATCATAGAAGTCTATTAAGGGATTGAGAAGAAACGAATCTTTTTAAATAATTCACGTTAAAACTAACTTTTGACATATCCATCATTTGTATTTGAAAGTTTATTTGCAGACAACGATTGTATATGTAATTGTTGGCCACATGCCACCAAAGAATTGGCGTAAATATGATTAGAGAATGGTAGTTCCTGTCCAGTGACATAAACTTTGCTACACCCAACAGAGCTTCTGTCTTCATCGCTGCTATTTGTGCGTGTTGTTCTCATTTCACAAGAACTTCCGCTTGGTGGTGGATAAGAAGACCTCAAGGCGGCTATGTTGTCTCTTCTGACAGTGCATACCCACTATAGATGGATATCATACGAATGACTTCCGATTGTGATAAAAAAAGAGATTATGTCCGGAACTGCAACAGTGTAGGTTGTTTTCTGTATTTTGGTTATCTCAAAAACATTTCTACATTTGTGTTATCACCTACTGCATCTAAAATTGAAGCATAGTCAAGACAGAAAAATGGCGTTGTGCAAGCTAAACATCCTTTTAAGAGGAAAAAGAACGAGATTTATAAAATTATAAAAAAAAAACGCGAGAATAAATGACTTAGTGAAAATATATATAATGTTTTGAAAATGGATAATATATTTTGCAATGAGATGATGTCCTTATATTTGATTTAAAACAGATTTTTTCGCAGATTACAAGGCAATGTCTACTGGAAATTAATTCAATATATCTTTCGCCAGAACAGTAAAAATATAATCAAAATATTGCGTTGATCAGTCATTCTTCGGTAGGAGCAACCTAACGCAATGAACCCGAACAGCTATATGAGTGATTCTAATGTCAAATATTTAACATATATCAGTTTGCTAGTGCAACACACGTTGTGCTGCTATGGTGACTATTTTAAATGTGTCATTTTGGTAGTCTGGGTTTGCAGTATATAGAACTTTTTTTTATTGTGACACGATTGATATGTTACACTTATTTGAATCTTATTTACTTGGATAAATCAAATCAGAAAAAAGGATCCATAATCAATAGAACACCGAGAAACTTAAAAGTAACTACAAAATTAGATACAATTGTCACACGTCAAAATTTGGCCTAAACCAACACCTACTACATAGACAATTCGCAAATAGATGCGCATGTGCAACATTTCTCCTTAAAAGTGAAACGTGTTGTATGGAATAACATCGCAATTAATGTAACGTAACCATTATAAATTGTAATTACGAAAATTTGTATTAAAAAGCACAAGAAACGTTAGATATTAAGGAAAACATAAGAGACATCCAAAGTATATTTTGAAAAAGGACGTTCAAAATAAACTCCTGCCTAGTAAAGACTTTCACGTTTAAATTAAAACCAATAGTGGAAGAAACTGTTGTAATTATTATATTGCCATGCGAATATTAAATGTACAAAACATCGCTTTCAGTTTTGCTTAAATATTGTTTGTATAAGACGAAAGAAATGTTTTTTATGGTATTAATTCTCATAAACTCCACAAACCTTATAGTTTTTGCGCAGAATGGCATTCGATCATTCTGGAAATAAATTACTTATAGGAAATATTAAAAATTCACTACATACACACTGTATGTACATAGCATATATACGTACGTGTCTGCTGGTGTGTGCGTGTGTTCGTAAAAGACTACAGCATTATTAATATGCACGAACAAAAACGTGTACATTTAGAAACAGGTTTACTTCCTACGCTTACTTTAGATGATTTGTAGCCATTTGTGTAATCATGAAATATTCCATTAGTCTCAATAACTTTTCAGGTGTTAACGTGTTTTTGAAATCGCTCTAGTGCGAAAATTCTTGAAGAATTCTGTTATATATATATATATATATATATATATATAAAGAAAATTCTTTCAAACTGGAAAAAGGTGAAGGAAATGCATATTGAGTGAATAAAATGAAAAATTCAGGTGTTTTCGCAATGAATTTAGGTAAGCTTAAGACGGTCTTTTTTCATTGAATAAAATGATTTCAGTTTCTGTTTTTCTAATTTTTTGCTTGTGTGTATCTTTTGTGAATTTGACTACTTATTGCCATATGAATTTAAAATATTCAATAGATTCTACATCTAGCAAGAAAAAAAGTTATAATAAAGCCGTCATAACCGAAAATAGCAAGAAATTGTCGTCGTTACCGGGAGTATGATTAATGAGTTCGTGATAAATTTTGCAAGCTCAGGGCGTCATGGTTCAATCAATTGTCTTGTGTTTTATAAAAGATGGCTAATAAAAGCACATTATCAAAGATCAACTTTTAAAAGCCTGTAGAAAAATGGAGTCGAATAAGTAAGTGTTACTGCTGAAATTGAGAAGAATAAAGTATCTAATATAAGAGCATCAAAAGAACGTTTTCAGTTTAATGTTTTTTTTGGTGGGATCATATGGGGAGAGAACGAAATATAAACAACCATCATCATGATAGCTGTTTCGACTTAAAGGCACACTGCAAATTAGTATGATTTCCCATCTTCAGCAACTTTGTAAATAACGCTTACCAGTCCTCTTCAAACATTCCTGTCCTCTGGTAATTCATGAAAGTGCTGCAGGTCTTCCAATCTCTTTAAGGCTTTTACGGAGAATGGTAGATTTTTATTGATAGCTCCCTAAATGTGCATTCGACGGTTGTCTGCGGTTTTCTTCGAAAGTGTTCTGCCTTGCTCTTATTGAAATAAAACAGCATTGTTTATGAGAAAGAGTTTGTACATTTAATCGCTGCCCATGTCCATGCGTAATAAAAGCACAAGTTTTAAAGACTGCTGCAAAGCTATAACCTAATTGCCCGAACGGGAAATATATGAACTAT